CTACTTTGAAAGTAGTTAGGAGGATGGTGAAATGGAAAGAGCAAGGAATTTTGCATCACAGAGATTTGAGTCTGGGCGTTGTGTTTTGCCAACTGCATGACTTTCTGCAACCAGCTAACCTGTTTCCTGATGTTTATGAGAGATGAGTTTCCTTTTCTTGGCAGGGCTTGGGAAAGATTAAATAAGATAATATACAAATAGCAGCTGGCCCTGCCATCCCTTGACACTCATACCAAGGCAGACATCAGTAGTCCCTCTCATCACTCTGCCTGAGCTCAAATCTGGTTCCAGAATGCTGCTAAGGAGAGTCTGGGTAGTCCCTACCCCAATCAATCAAATATGAAATCCATTTGTGATCCTGGAGCCCCATGATTTAGTTATACTACCAATAAACTCAAAGTAGGTTTAATTGTGGAGCATACATAAGAAACAGTTTAGCAGAATATATTTTGTTACTTTAATGAGAGCAGCTGCAGTGGAGTGGTGTCAAGAGGAAGCCATTTTGGAGTGGACTAAGAATGGAGGGGGTGGAGAATGTGGAGGTGGCCAAATCAAACTTATCTGAAAAGAGGTGGTAGGCAAAGAGGGGAAAGGATGAAACCACAGCTCAGCACAAGGTAGGGGTGGTGGTTAGCATATTAGAGAAGATTTTTGTTTGTTGTTTCATTGTTTTGAATAGATCAGGGCAAGTTGAACACGTTGTAAGAGGAAGTTAATGAACCAGAGGGAAGATACAGAGAAAGGGGATAATTGATGGAACAAGCTGTCAGAGGACGCAGGAGGGGACAGGACTGTAAGTTAAATGACTGCTCTTGGAAGGAAGCAGTGGTAGGAGGTCAGGAAGGAAGAAGAGGTGGCAATACACAATATTTGAGAGTTGAGGGAAGCAAAGAATGTAAGAATGTAAGACTCAGCTGGGTTTTTATCTGTTTACTGCTGTTTTTCTAGCTCCTGGAACAATATTTGGAACATGGCAAGCACTCAATAAGTACTAATTGAATAAAGTACAGAAACAAGTATTTTGCATCAGTGAGGGACTGTTGTCAAGATCTAGATTTTAATGCTTTCTCATGAACTTCCTTATGGATACAAGTTGTTGCTATTGGAGTTTTGGTTTCACTGAGTTTGGCATTTCCTTCAGTAGAACAAAGAAAGTCCATGTGATGAAGAAAAGAGAATTAAAAAGCTTGTAGCGAGCTGTCTAGTTGTCTGCCCCCGAATCCCCCTGTCTTTTCCAGTTGGGAACCTTCTACCTGCAGCAGTCTCTCAGCCCCACCCCAGGCCTCTCAGCTCCACCCCAAGGGTTGGAACCATCTTATTTCCCAATAGGGAACTTTGAGGAGACACATTATTTGCTCCATACTGAGTCAGAATTAAGGCTGATTCTGCACCAACCTTAAAGCTTCTGTAAGTCATCAAATTTCGTATGTATCTGAGAAGGCGTTGGAAATTACAGTGTGTTATATAGTTGTCAGATGTTGTTTTTTCACAGAGCTGGTTCCATGCTCTTTCCAGCTCTGCCCATGATTCAGTATAAAAGTAGACAGGTCATCTCCCTGGGCCTTGACAGATGTAGGAATAAGGCTCCTTCCCCATCTTGAGCCTGAGCCCCACCCTGGTTGGGTCCCAATCTAGCATGCTTTAAGCTCAGAGTCCTTTGTCTCTGTTGCTGCTGCCATGGCCCCTACTTCTGTCAGCTGCTGCCTCCTGTGGCATTCTTCACTGTGCAGCAGGATAGCTGCCCATTTGTACCTATTACTATGAGGAAATTTCCCCTTCCTTGGTTAAAAAAAACCCCTCAAAACTCTGGGATGTCTGGACCACATGGCCTTGGCTTTTGCCTAAGGCTCGCATTCCTTTTGAGACTATGTCTGATCCTACATCACTGTGTTGGCTAAGGGGCACTGCATCCCCCCATGTTTTTTCTTACATTGGACGGGGACCCTGTGTTGATTCCCTGGAGCCCAAATGAACCATAAACAACAGAAAGTGAAGGGGCAGTAAAAGGAGGTACTTTCATTGATCTTGTTTAGGACTTAGTTTACTTCCCTTTAATTTTTTGGATGAATACATGGATGCCTTTGTTCCTAGCTCCTGGTCTACCATCCTCATGGTGGTTCCTATCTTTTATACCCACCAGCTGGGAGAGCCTGTGCCTTCCATGGTCTTGGCATGGCAGTTCTATGTTCCTGTGTTCATGTCTTTTCTCTGAGTTGTTGACATTAGGGGTGGCCTCCCCATTCAAACATAATCCAACCTACTTCCAGATACGAGTGTGTCTTTACGGACATCACCAGGAAATCATAGCACCCTCTCAACAGCTTAAAAGATGTGCCCGTATATTCTTATCTGGTAAGAGCAGGGTTAGTTTTCGTAGCTTCCAGTGGGATCTCCTTGTTGCCTGCTTGGACGAACTCCCTTGTTTGAAGTGGTACATGGTTCGACTCTTATTTGTATGGGTGTGTTCTGGTTGTCTGTGGCTTGATTCATAGCTTCTATAATCAAGCCCCCATTTGACGAGAGAAGAGAGCCACAGCAGGCAGGATGTAAGGTAAGATTTCTGGAGACCAAGATATATTAGGAAGCACCAAATGTTGCATCCTATTAATTACTCAGACTGAAAGAATAAGCGCTAAATCCATGCCAGACAGCACTCAAAGCTCTGTAAAAATCCCTCCATCCTGAGCTGTTGACATTGTGCACAGGACCATCAATAACCAGCTTGTGAACCTGTGGTGGTTCCAGGTGTAACGAGACATTACACGTAGGAAATTGTGAAACTCATCTCAAAAATTTCCACCGTCTCATCGAGATAATACTGCATTCCTCTCCTAATGAAAACCTTGCAGTGAAAATAAATAATAATAAAATTAATATTTAAAGTGTAAGCAATGAGGCAAAGCTTTTCAAAACTTCTTTTCACTTTTAAAAGGGAAAAACCTGCAGGAGAGGAATATTTTCAAAGGACACCTGCAGTGCAATATATATAAATATATATATTGGACAAATATAAAGCTGAACAAAAGAAGCAAGACATGGGAAAATGCCTGTTTTCTTCTGGCTGTCATACTTAGCAAACAGCAAGCATGGAGAGGAGGCAAAGTCACCATTTTGGTAAATCTGTGGAAATAACAAGTATAAACGCAATGAAGGGAAAAGTCTGTGGGGAAGTTTAAATGACGAGACGCCAAGCAAAAACTTCCTGTCCCCATCGTGGGCTTAGGCTGGAGCTCTAGCTGTGGGCTCTGCTTGGAATATGCACTGTAGAGTCTAAGTTCTAAGGAGCAAAGTGAGAAAGAGGTAAGTTGGTAGCTCACTCATGTGCCGCCAGTGTGTCCCATCCATCACTGCTGCCTGAGGGTTTCCCGTGAAACACCAAAGTCACTTTCAGACAGCCCTAATTAAGCACTCATGTGGCTTTGCAGGACCTCTGCTTTTTCAATTTTTTAAAAATCTGGGTCATGTTCTAATATGAAAACTTCATTCCTGGAGAAAAAGCAAGAACTGCCACCCAGGAAATACCTACTCAGTTTTCCCCAAGAAAGTTTGAAATGTGCGTGTTGAAGGAAGCATGTTTTGTTACTTAGTCGAAGATACTTTTCCAAACATGATCCAACTTAGCAGCTTTGCATGCAGGAACTTCCTATAAATGTATTGCTTTCTCCCTGTAAATTCCTAGAAGTGAACTGGCTGGTGTAAGCTCTGCCCTCCTTGACTAATAACCAGACTCACACAAAGTTGCATTTAAATATATAGAACAGCATTTGACACCGCCGAACTGCTTCTCCAGGTATGAAGAGTATCCCGATGAGTCAGAGATTTATACTCAGTCTGGTTACGAGGTTTAGTGCTGATCTGGATCTTGCTACTTAAAGAGCCGTCTAGCAGCATAGGCGTTACCTGGGAACTGAATAGACATGCAGCCTCTTAGTCCCACCCAAACCTGTTGAATCAGAATCTGCGTTTTAACAAGAAGCTCGGGTGATCCGTTTGCTCCTGAAGCCTGGGCGGCACTGGGAAGGGGAGGAGAGGGAAGCTGTGTGGGATGCGGTACACCGTGAAGCTGGAGCTGTGCGGGCTTCAGCCTTACCCGGAACCACCCGCCCCTTCCAGGTGTCGTTAGATTTCTGGCTAATGAGGGGCTCAAGGTGTTTTATGAGGGTCTGGCAGGTATTTTGCAGGTGGAAAAAGACAGAAGAGTAGCAAGAATGAAATGGTCAGGACTTGTAAATGCAACAGAGTTTCTCATCAGCTTCCAAACACTATATTCTCCACCTTTCCTCAAATATCTTCCATGTGGTTTGTCTCCACATCTAGGTAACAGCCAGGCCCTGGTGTTCCTTGTAGAAATGGTGGGGCTTGGAGACCACCCAGCAGGTGAGGGGGAGGCTGGAGGGAAGCCAGACAGAATGTGAGCTCCATTTGCCCAGTTCAACCAAGGCAGCTCTGTTTTTATTTGCTTTATGTGTTAAAGTTCCATTTAAGATTTGCTGAATAATTAGCAAGCCCGTGAAAACCGCTGCCCAGAGCAAAGAGCACAAGAACTATTCCCAGATCAGGAAAAAGCAAGACAGTGCTGTGTGAAGAGTTGTGGTTTGTTGGAGTCAGACCTGCCTAGGATTGAATAGCTCTGCTCATCTCAGCAGACTTACACTTTCCATGCCTCAGGGTTCTCATCTGTGACCTGGAGGTACCAACGCTGGGTAAACACGCACCTGCTTTGTCCAGGACATTTCCTTGTTTACAGTTGTTGTCTTTGCATCAATATTAATGATCCCCTTTGCTCTCGAGAGTATCTTGGTTTGGATGATACAGTCACCCTAACCAATAGCTACCTCGAGGTGTTGTTTGAAGTATTTAAGATTAGGTAACTACAGAGCTTGCTGTCACCTCAGTGATTTTACTGTAGGTGCACTCATTAAAGACGGCATTCTTGTGACCAGAATGGGTACAGAGGTACCAGTTTTGAGTCGGTTACCCTTGGCCTTGGTATTCAAGTTCAGCTGATCAAACCAGGGGAATCTCTGTCCACACCCTTTCAAAGTGAAGCATTGCACTTGTCCTTTTCCAGTTTCTGCCAGGGCCTTTGGTGGTCTTTTCTGCTCTCTGAATGCCTGAGAGGGCTGTCTGGGGTGGTCTTTGTTCTTGTAAGGAGGTATTTTAGGGGCTTGTTAGAACTGTGCTGTGCTCTGGCGTATAGAGTGAAATGGCAAGGATAGAGGGGGTTACAGTTTACGTTCCGAACCTTCAAAGAGACAACCTCCTGGCTCCTAGGTACAGAGCTCGAGATCAGCCATCTCCCCCTGAGAGTTCTCCTCGAGCCTCCTTCCTTCTGTGGGTTCCCACGGCCAGACTAGGGGATTGGGTCATATTACATTCTACACTTCAAACAATGCTTCAGGAAAAGAGGCAGTGTGTCCTGCCTTTGTGCAGTTAGAGCCTTGGGGTAGTGTTCTTAAAATGCATTAAGGGAAAGTGGAATCTATGCTGCTAAACAAACAAATCCAGCGTCCAACATTTTGGGTGGCACAGGGAGACTCTGTGAGGTGATGTTTTACCCCATTCTGACTGTGCTCGTTGGGAAAAGTATCAGGGTATGTTTTTTAGACTGGAGCAGAGGGTTCCTCTGGAAAAAGGGTTTGAGATTTAAGAGAAGGTTGAGTGTCAGTAAAAGCATCGCCTACACAGCTTTTCCATTGGCATCTGCACTAGTGGAGACCAAGGCAGCAATTGTGTTGGGCACAATCATGGTATTTATCTCACCAAGATGTATGTAAGATGTCAGTATCTTTAATTCATGGCTGGCCACCTGCACAGGAAACCAGGCAGACAGAATATACTTTAGGATCTTAATTTAAACCTATTAAAGTTTTTCTTCTCTTTTGAAAAGTGATAAGGAGATTCATAATCTATGGTTTAGGTAGACACTTACCAACCAAATATTTTTAAGAGTTTTAAAGCTTTTAAATGGGAAGAGCTATACCCCAAACCTGTCAAGGGTCAGTGGTCAAAACAAATCTCACATGCCACATGGTATGGGTCTAAAGGTCTTTATTAGGGAAAGGGGATTTTCATGAAGAGAAAGCACAGATTCCCCATCCTTTCATGACCCACAGAGAAGCCTGCTGGACGTGCAGCATGGGCTCATTTTTACAGGGTGAACTTGAGAAAGCATTTATTGATGGGCCAATGAGCAGGTTGTCTGGTACCAGGCAGTCTGCATTTCGGGTGCTAATTATGCACTGAGGCTATCTGGGAATGCTGGCAGCCCAGCACCTTGGCTTGGGAACCCATGAGAAGTTACAGACCCTCTACAAAAGGGAAGGGAGCCACCGGTCCCTGGGAAGCTGAGTTTTGGTGAAACCCTTCCCACTAGAGAGGGGAGGTGAAGCCCCCTTCCCAAGTCACAGCTGGCTCATTTCCAGGTAATCCAGCATGAGCTCCTAGGGATGCTTGTGGGCAGTTCTGGTCATTGCATCATTGCATCACAAATATGCTCAGATATAATAGTGTCTGAGCGTATTTCACAAAGTCTAATCTTGGCTGTTGGCAAAGCTGAAACAACCTCTCTCACACGTATCATTTTGGTGTTAAAACCTTGTCCCACTTCAGCTCCATCATGACCTGTCAATGCAGCCGGCCCCATCTGTGCAGATGGGAACCAGAACATCAACCTGGAAATAAAATTGGAAATCTGTTCTTCCTGCCATCAATAGGTGAATCTTTGACAGTGACGCAGTCACAAATGGAGTACCAGAAGTCCCTAAAATAAAGCTACAGTTTCATTCAAGTACGTAGAGGACCACTGGTTTTCTTAAAAGGTGTGTGCCACCCATGAATAGCAAAGCTGCCATTCCAGGAGAACCGTGAAGTAGAGGAAAGCCTGCGTGTACACTGTGTTGTTCGAGTCTAGTCGTGAGCTGTGTCCCGGTCCTCTTGCCATTTTCAGCTGCACTTATCGTTCCAGAGTCTGCAGGACACTGTTCTCCCTTCTGCATGGCTCCTAGTGTGAGGTTGAACTCAACAAGGAACGCGCTCACCCTGCTTCTCTTACTCTGCAAAGCAGCAACAAACTGATGCAAACTGTCAACACCCGGCAGAGCTGAGAACTCCCTGTCCTGTGCTGGGTTTCAGACTCTTCGCCCTCAGTTGTCGTCTGGGGATTGCTGCTCTGTCCTGGTGAGTGCGCCCTTCTTCCTCTGAGCACATTACTGTCAGCTGCTTCTGGGGAATAAAAAGCATCCAGAGAACTAAGGAATAGAATACAGCAAAGTATGAAGAAAAACACAGTCTGTTATCACCCACAGCCTGGGCCTCCACACACTGTTATAAGAGAAATTGAATAGTGCTAATAGAAGTCCCTCAATCTCGTATCTGCAATTCTGAATTCCCAAAAGCCCTGAAAACCCATTTGGTGGAGAAACCTGACTCGATTTCATCCAAATGATGAGATGCATAGTCTTTTTTTTTAAATGTCTCACTTAGTATGAATAATCACACACATCACTGCAAAAATACTAACGTGCTTGAACAGGGTAAGTTGCCCCACTCTGCTGAAGGTTTTATATAATATGGGTGTACAGATCATATGGTCTTTTAAATCAGAAAAATTAGAATTCCAGAATACATCTGGCCTTATGGGTTTCATTGAAGGGATTATGAACATGTACATGTACCCAAGTGGGAAAAACCAGACAATACAGGGAGGCATGAGATGAAGAGGGAAGTCTCCCCTCCCACTCATCAGCCCTGTCCCTCTTCCTAAAGGTCACCACTGTCATCAGTTCCTTGGAATTCCTTCTAGAATTTATTTTTATGAATATGACATGATTTTGTGAAATAATTTTTACAAGAAGTATATTATAAACACCATTCTTGGATATTTTCCCATATCAGCATATAAAAGCTCTGCCTCATTTATTTTAGTGTCTGCCTAGTAGTCCATCATACAGATGCAACATGATTTATTTAAGAAGCCCCAAATAAGGAGCACTATATGCGGGTTTTATTTATTTTTATTTTTGGTGGGGGCATCTTGTATGAGTATCTTCCCACAATGAACATCTTGGCAAAAAGAATTTTGTGAATATGCCCATCAGTTAAATTCCTACGAGTGACAGTGGATTCAGTTTCTTTTTGGGGTGATGAAAATGTTCTAAAATTAGATTATGATGATGGTGGCATGTCTTTATGAATACACCACAAACTCTTGAATTGTACACTTACATGGGTGAATATTATGTATGTGAGTTGTATGTCAAAAAAGCTGTTTAAAAATTCCTAGGGTCTGAGGGTGTGCTGTAAAACGTTTATAGTTCTTTTTATAATTAAGTGCGCATTCAGCCGTATCTTCACCAGCCCTAGTCTCTGCCTTTTTGCCTGAGCTCTTACACTGAGATAGTCATTGTTTGCTTGTAGGAATCCCCCTGAGCCTTGGTCCTGGAAGGACTTTGCTGAAAGCTCTAGCCATAGAAGGTATCTCACCTCTGACAGGTAGCATTTTGCTTCTGAACTGCTCCTGTTGGCCCAACCAGAACCGTTTGATGAGTGTGACCCAGGCCAAGGGCTTTCTCCTAGGGTTTCTCATGGGCCAGGAGATGGGAGGCGGTTGCTCCACCAACAGGAAGAAGTTGGTGCAGTCTTGTGTGGGCACATCTCTTATCTGTAGGAGTTAGTGTCTTGGACATGAAGGTATGTGGCCCTACCCTTCAGCAACCAACTGTCCCAGGACCGAACATGATCCCTCCGGTCTTAATCTTGCCAATTTTGATAAGATTTAGTCCTTTAACTAAGACTGCCTTATATTTCTTTGTATTTCCCACACTAACACATTTCGTAACTTTTAAATGTTTTCACATGTATCATCTCATTTAATCAGCATGACAGTCCTGTAGGATTTATTGTAGCATTTGTATTTTGCAGATGAGGAAACGGAGACGACAGCCAGAGACTTGTCAGGGACACATAGCCATTAACCATACAGAACCATCCTGGGCCCAAGATCTCATTAAGTTTGTGTCTCACAACAGCCCTGTAGGGTAGCAAGATCATAGCTCATCACTCCCATTTTACAAAGGAAAAGACTGAGGCCAAAGTCACATCGTGCCAGTGGTAGAGCCGCCCTGGTTTCTGTACCAGTGCTCTTTCTACCATACCGTCATCTCTCTGGACGTGCACAGGAAGAAAAATAGCTGCAGGGCAGGCAGTGCTTACTATTCTCTGTCAGCCTCTACACCAAACAATTTATGTGTATTAGTTGAACTGAGAAGATGGCTGTGAAAAGGAGCAGGGCCCTGTGGGCCTCACCCTCACTCCTGTCTCAGCTGAAGAAAAAAATGGCCATATGTGAGGGGAGGGGAGGAATGGAGGATGTAATATTTTTTTTCTAAATTTCACCCAAGGGGTAAGTAAAAGCTTTGAAATCTATAATTAGTCATAGGTATCAGAAAATAAAATTTATTTGCCTTCAAGAAGCTGGAGATGGTACAGAAAAGTACCAGCACAATCGGAAAGACTTGGTGAAGCATTTAGCGATGAAGCCACCAACCTCAACTTTAAATTGACCTGGAGTTAAAAATATTTATATATGGACAGCCCTTGAATTCATACCCCTCAAATGCCCAGGATGGGTGTCCCGGAATTATTAGGTTCATCCAATTGTAGTTCTCTATGTGACAGAAGTCTGGAAATTTAGTAGTAACTCCAGTGAAAAGTGTTGCTAAAGATTCTGTCTTCAGGCCTCTCATTCTGTCTCTCTGTCTCCATCTCCTCTCTCTGAGGCATCTGCCATGTGTTTGGTGGCTATCATTTTCATTAATAAATCATAGAACCAATTTCTTCTCACTCCACCCCTTTAGATTCTGGCCTTAAAGTGTTTATCTTGTTATTTGGAAACCTCTGAAGAACAAGTGAGATACGTATTTTAAAAATTGATTTTCAGATATTATTCTTTCTTTTGGTGACTCATTCACTCTCATGGCTTCTCCCAAACCCACATCTCCAGCCCCAGCATTTCTCAAAGCCCCAGCATTTCCTTTTAGCTGTCTGTGGACAGTAACCCTGAGGGGGCCCACTGGCCCCTCGAACCCTCATCTTCTGCCAATCTCTAACTTCAAGGTTTTCTTTGAGTCTTCTTTACTCTTCATACCAAGTCAGTGAATTGTATCTATAGTCTCCTCTCTGCTCCAAAGTACCCGTCATCATCTCTCACCTGGCGTGTATAATGACCTTGACCTTGTTTCCAGTGGGCACTCTTTTCCCACTTCCATCCAAACTGCACTGCCAGGCTCACTGAAGGGAGATTTTGATCCTATCACTTTCATATTCAAAATCTCAAATGTCTTCCCTAGTCTGTGGAACCGGTGTTAAGTTTTTAGCCAAGGAATCAAAGTCCTTCATAAAACTTCCCACTCTTCTCTGAGTCTGATATTCTGGATAGTCCATCTCTACTAATTTCCATGAGAAGAATTAAGATGAGTCTGTTGCACCCAAGTTCTATAGAAGCAGCATTGTTGATGAAAATCACATCAGTATTTTAAAAACCTTCATGACCAAAAGAGGCTTAAGAATTGACCTTCAATGATTTGAACAATGATTGAAATGCCTCCTCCATGTTTCCTTGCTCTGGTTTTTTGTTTTGTTTTTGTTTTTGTTTTTCAGGCCCACTGAATGATCTGTGTTGTATGGCATCCTGTGGGAGGCAACAAACAAAAAGTATTACCAATATAGTGCAACTCAAGATTTCTGACTTCAGTCACGTCCACAGCCCTCATGCTGAGAGGCAGACGTGATGCTATCACTTCAGAATTCCCTCAGACAGCACAGATACCAGTCATGAAGTCCTGGTGCCTCAGAGGGTACAGCACTTCTCAAACCATGTATCCTGACCTGGTACATTTCAGAAAATATGACTACCGAGTAATGGAACCACGTCACGTGTGTACTTAACCTACCATGAACTTCAGCCTTCGCTGAAACTGGGACTCGGCCACCTCCTTTCATCCTCACAACCAACCACAAACATTCCGGAGGCTTAATAATAGGTTCGTCCAATCCCTGCAGGCGAGCAGGTGCTCTTTGGAATTCTCCACCCACTCCTAGTCAGAAATTTGATGGGAATGTTAAAGGAGAATGATTTCAGTATTCAGAAACCTGCATAGAAACGCAACCTCTGTCCCTTACTTTAGGTCACGTTGTCCTCAGGCTTTAGTTTGCATAAGCATTAACAATTAGGATCATTTGTGTAAAACCTTGTGTTCCGGACTCTATGGACAATTCAAGGGATTTTTCAAGGTTACTTTTAAAATTTATTTTTCAAAATTAAATAGCACAAATGAAACAGAATCAAAATGTATTTGATGAAGAGTCTTGCCCCCATCCCTCTCCCTCTGCCTAATTTCCACCCAGTCCCACCAAAGATCACCAGGATCCCCACTGTTGTTAGTCTCTTGTGTGTTCTTCCAGAGTTCCTAGAGGCAAATACAAGCAAATATGAATGTGTATTATAACCTTCCTTTGTACAAACATTTTCCTACATTTTTTCTTTCATTTTTCAGCATAAGTTGGAGATCTTTGTACATAGCGAACATCCTCATTCTTTATATATATATATATATATAATCTACATATATATATAGCTATGTATGTATATATATATATAGAAAGAGAGAGAGAGCTACATAGAATTCCATTGTGTCGATAGATGGCACTTGTGTTGTTTCTGATGTTTTACTATTAAAAACAGTGCTGCAGTGAATAACTTTGAAAACCCATTATTTTGAATGTGTTGAAACTAAGCTTCAGGATGAATTCCAGAGCAGGGTTGCTGGGTCAAAGGGTATATGCCTTTGGAATTTTGATAGACGTTGCTAAATTTCCCTTCATAAGATCATTCCAATTTACACTCTTGTCAGCAGGATAGGTGAGTACCTGTTTTCTCAGCTTGTCGACAGCTTGTCAGCTGAATGTGCTGTCACGTTTTTGTCTCTTTGCCCCTCTGAGAGAGTACAAGTGGCATTTCATTGTAGCTTTTGTTTTGAATGTCTCCTACCAGTAGTAAGACCAAATATCTCTTCCTATATACAAGGGCTGTTTATATTTTCTCCATGTGATCTGTCTGCTTGCATCTTTTGCCCACTTTTATGTTGGCTTTTTCTTCTTGATTTCCAGGAGATTTCTATATACTTAGGAAGTTAACTTGTTGTCTGTGGTTTGGTTTGCAAATATTTTCCCCAGTTGATGCTTGTCTTTGAACTTTGCTTATTATATTATTCTTTATGCAGAAGTGTATTATTTTATGTAATTGAACTTTTTTATTTTTGATGAAATTTAGAGTTTGAGTCATAGTTAGAAATACTATAGGGAAATTCTCTCATGGTTTTTTTCTTTGGATTTCATTTCTGACATTTGAACTTTTAAGCCTTTTTATCATGGTTTCTCTTGGTGTAGTGGTGTATGTTAAGGTTGATTTTGATTATTCTTGATTTTTCACTTGGAACTGACCCTAAGTGAGATATGATTTGCTACTGTGATCATTTGTGAACAAATCTTCAGTTTCTGTCCTTAGATAGAGGAGCAGAGGGTGTCTGGTCGGCTGCCCAGCCTGGGCAGTGTAAGGCAAACGGTTCTTATCCTGGCCCTCCTCTACATAATAGTGCTGTTCCCCTTTTCAGTGGATCTATCAGGAACCCACAAAAGGAATTCCTGTAGCTTTACCTTGGAATGTGACCCCAAAAGTGCAGAAAAGCCCAGAAAAAAAGGGATACTCCTCACACCCAGTGGAGAGTGAACCCATTCCAAGTGGAGCAAGAGAAAACCAAAAGACAGTGAGGGACTGGGACAGCTGGAAACTGGGACAGGAGCCAAGAGAAACAGACTTCAAATTCTAAAATATAAAAAAGGCAAAGATGGGAACTTTCTGAGAGTCCAACGTCAGATCTGGAATTTGCGGTTTTCCTCAATGGTTTCCCTTTAGGAGAACCAGGAGCTCTGCAGGTGTGCTTAGCGGCAGCAAGGGGCCCTTGGCGGCTGAGGGGACACGTTTGCACCCAGTGGTAAGAGAGAGAAAGGGCGACTGAAATTATGGGGGAGAAAATGTGCTTTCCGGTCTGTGCTACTTCTGCAGGGAAGTACCCCACAAGATAAAGGGAGTGTTTTCACAAGCACTGTGAGAACAACATGCTTTGGAAGTTTCTGGAAAGACCCACTGCCAAATAAGCAAAAGACCGATTGGACCCAACGCCCCCATCGCAGTCTCTATGCCTTGGCACATGGTCTTCGCCGTTCCTGGTGGCTTGCCTGCTGTGAGTGATGAATTGGCTGCCACGGTAGAGGTGGTCTAATCCAGACAAGGCACCTGCAGAAAAAAAATCGATGGAGTAACATGCCAAAAGGGAATGAAAATGTACACTAGCCAGGTTCCTGTCACCTGGGGACCACATGTCCTGGGATGATATGTGGGGTTTCTTTGTAAAAATATGTGTGTTATTTATTCATATATTTATATACACACTAAAAAGTCTTAAGACTGGAAGGAAATCTATTAAAATTATAATGGTGTGTTAAGAAAAACTCTTTAAGACTTGGAAAAAAGAATGACTGTATGTCCTTTCCATGTCATATCAGAACAGTCCAGCAGACCCACCCAGTGATTATCTGATTCTTTTGGGAAACATTCCTTAGTTTAAGTTATTACATTCCGCCCTCTTATCTGCAGGGAATATGTTCCAAGATCCCCAGCAGGTGCCTGGAACTGCGGATAGTACTGAACCCTGCATACGTAGTTTTTTTCTATACATACATACCTATGATAAAGTTTATAAATTAGGCACAGGAAGAGACTGTCCAGACTGTCAGCATCACTACTCTTGCCCTTTGGGACCATTATGAAGTGAAATAAGGGATACTTGAACACAAGCACTGAGACCCTGTGGGTAACTGAGAAGGCCACTAACGGGAAGGAAACACTGAACTGAGGGAGGATTCATGTCCCTGCCGGGATGCAGTGGGACTCTGAGAAATCTCATCACACTACTCAGAATGGTGCACAATTTAGAACTTACCAATTGTTTATTTCTGGAATTTTCAATTTAATATTTTTGGACCGAGGTTGACCGGGGGTAACTGAAACCACAGAAAGTGAAACTGCTGATAAACAGGAGGACTGTGTTCACTACTGATTAGAGCCTGGACTCTGTAAAGTCACACAACAACATGTGGATTTTTTGTTTCCCCAGTAACAAAACAAATTATTTCTGCTCTTAAAGTTTACGGTTCTATTCTCTGCAAGATATGAACCGTCTCTGTGTCTAAACTAGCAGTCTTCCTTCGTTGTTCTTTTGGTGCCAGTTCACTCAGTCTCTAAAGTTTACTCAGTTTTATTATCTTGCTGGTTCCCTCATTAATGAGTGAAATATACTCTTTCATGGATGCTTAGTTTAGATGTGTATGAGAATCAAGTTTTTAATATTTTCAAAATACTTTGACTGTGGCTGTATATGGGTATAGGCTATGGGAGATTTCAGTGTTCTTCCTTACATCCTTCCACGTTTGTCAAATGTCCATGAAAGGACACGTTTTACTTCTTTTATAAAAACAAAGCACAAAATGTATGTGCATATGTGCACACATGCATTCTAAGGAGTTGATCTCTTAGTCCCTACTCCCCCTGGCCCTGTACCCAGCGAAGGGCCTCCCTTTCCAAGGAGTCTATAAAGTGGCTTTGCTGATGACAGAGCAGACTCTGACTCTAGGGAACAGATAGGAAAGGTGTTATTACGCTCCCAGAAAAACGAATCGGTGTTCCTGGATAAGCACAGGTTGGTTGATAAAATCCTTTTCCACTGTCAGCTGAGCTGATACGGGACTAACTCCTTTAGTAGGAGCTGAGGGCAAGCACCTGAAGTGGCTGTGCCCCCCACCCCACCCTGCCTTCATTGATGGACACTGGAGTCTGAGTCCTGAGGGAGGGCCTGGGAAGCACAGGAAGGTGTAAAAAGTGAGAGCCAGGGGAGGGCAGAGAGGGCGCAGGAGGGAAGAGGCCCAAGGCTGGGAAAGAGCTGGAGGCAGCAGACCGGAGGAGGAGCCTGCAGTGAGCCAGCACCCCCTTGTAGGCTGGGAAGGGAGCTGGTTCAGCCTAGTCTTTTACACCCACACTCTGAATTTATCTTTCATCTCCCCCTCCCAACCTCACCTCATTTCCACCCCCAGAGCCATGCAGCTGATAGGACTATGATTGCTGGTGTTTGCTTGGAAATGCAAATGAGAATTTCTGGCAGTTTCTTAAGTTGGGTTGTTCTCCTTTACCTAATTTATTGACTATTGGAAAGGACTATTAGTAAAAACTCCAGATTCAAGCACTAGTGCCTTAAACGCTGGCTCCCTAGAGAGACAGCTGCCCCATTCAGTAATGACCTAGGAACAGAGGTGCTATCATCCCCTGGGCTCTAATGGGTGTGCATATTCGGCCCTGGAGATGCCACCCAGCCCAGCCACCACCTGGTTTCCCAATGTCACTAAGGCAAGAACTGATAATACGTCTGCCTTTCTTGGTTCTATCATGTAGAAACGGTGTCAGAAAAACCCATTTCTTAGAACTAGAGCATAATTATGCGGAGGCAGGAGAGAAGGTCTCTGCTGCCCCCTGTTAGTGGACTTCTACTAACCACAAACATTTTATTTTAAACTTTAAAGAATATGTTATTTGGTTTCAGTATTTTTATTATTCGAGGGTCTTGGTTCTGCCACCCATTCACTGTGAAATCTTGTTGAAATAATTACACTTCTTTGGCCCTCAACTTTCCTCATCTATACCATAAACTTATTAGTCTCTTTCAATGATATGATTTGTGATTCTAAGGAGCCTCAGTTTTTAGAGCTTTTCAAGAAGAAAGATAAGAAGATAATGCAATGTCCAGAAGTTCTCTAATGATGTAGATCAACATCTAATCTGTTATTATTGCTTGCACTTAGGCATGTGTGAAATATTTGCTGCAAATTCTATTTTTATTATGTTGAATCCAATTCAAGATAAAAATAAAGCAACTAAAACAGATGGAAGTGGACCCCATAAACTTCATAATCTTGTACCTTTCTAGAGACAGGAATGAAAACTGAAACTAAGATTTGTTCTGGCCTAAGGCTTGCATGTGTTGCTCCAGCAGGAAAATAATCATTTAAAGGAATTTGCTGTGTTCTTTCTGTTGCAGGGTGGGAGGAGGAGAAGCATTCATTTAAAGGCACCATATGCTACTGAAACAAGTTTGTACTTTATTAATCCACTAGTATTCCTACTATAGAAGTTCATTCATACTATAGAAGTTAAAGTGAAATAGAAGAATAGCTGCACATAGCATCATGACTCTCCCATAATGTGGTTACCTCCAGGTG